TGGGAGTGAAGAAGAGATAGAGAGTATGAAAAAATAACGAGAAAGAAAAACAAAAGGAAGGAAACAGAGTAAGAGAGTTGGGTCATGAGACAGGACAACAAGAAGGAGAGAACAATAGCATTGGGGAGATGAGATGAACAAAGGAAGAGCTGCAGGAAGATCAAGAGCGAGAGCGAGCCTGGAGGCCAGGGAGAACACTGAGAGGAGAAGAGCAGAACATGTGAGCCCTAGAAAAGGAGCACAGGTCAATGGCTAGGAAGGAAGAGGCTCAGCCTCGTGTGCCCCGAGACTCACTGATCCGTCACTGAGACCACCGCACCATGAGGAGAACTGCCTGGAGCCAGGCAGCGGGAAGGGCAATGCACTAAGTGTCCTTTTTCTTGTCACCTGCAGTGGGGAGGTAGCCAGGTGATGACATAGCATAGCATGGGCTTGGCTAACTCATGAGCATCTCATGAAGAATCCTCAGAGACTGAGGAAATGAGAACACAGTGAAAGGAAATGAGAAAGAGCAGTGTGGAGAGGGAGAGAGAGAGAGAGAGAGAGAGAGAGAGGGAAACAGTGACAAGCCAGGACAGAAAAGAGAGATATGTAGAGAGATGTCAGGGAAGCTGATACGAAAGGGAAAAAAGACAAGGATGATTGGGAGATTGGGAGAGAAATTGAGAGAGATGGAGAGGATAGTGAGAGAAAAGGAGGTCAAGGGAGAGGAAGGGGGAAGGAAGAGAAGGAAAGGAGAAGTACAGCACGGAGTTGGAGTAGCAAAAAATGAGCCTGATTTTGAGCCTTTGCCAACAACTGAACTTGCTATTCTGCTGTCAATTTTCAGCCATCACTAAGACAAGCGGAAAGAGCCAGGCTCAGGTTTTGTTAATTATAGAATGTTCTGATCTGTACCAAGGGTCACCTCTCTGGATTCCTAAGTGAACCAAACACATTAGAGAGAGAAAGGGAAGCGGGTGGGACAGGGAAGATGTATAGTGCACCAGGGAGGAAGGAGAAGGGCGCCATCGCAATGCCCTGCAGGCCCGGAGGAGGCACTGCCCCACACATTCCTGTCACTCCTTGGGGACAGCAGGTTCTGTGCCACATTAGGCACCTATTGCCCTGAGGGTTCCAGGGCTGGCCTGACAACATGCAAAGTCTCCCTTCACATCCTCTGAGCCCAACTCCAAGTCAGAAATCTGGCTTTACCATCACCTCACAAAGATGATCCCTGCCCAGCAAACAAACCAGCAGCTTCAGTCTCAGGATAGTAGCTGGGGTTGAGCTGCGGGGAGGGCGGGGACTCCTGGGTCCCTAGTTGCTGGCTTCACAGGAGCTCCCACCGATGCCTGCAGGGCCCTCCCCACCGTAGGCATCCAGGGGGTGGCAGCGCTCAGAGAAGAAGGACATATCGAGGACTAGAAGGTGGTGTCATGCTCCACTGCACCTCTCCCCAGAATGCAATGTGACACAAGACATCGGGAGATGGCAGCGAAAGTTCAAGGGAAACACACAGTTATTTATGGCTCAGGCATCTGTTGTCAGATCAGAAACAGAGACCTAATCTCAGGCAAATCCAGCAGCCTGTATGAGAGCAGATGGGGAGGTGTGTGCAGTGCTCAGTCCTGTTCAGCTCTCAATTTATTACTCTTCCTCTTCTCCAGATCCCATCTCCAAGGCAGACATTTGTCCTGGCCACGACACCAGGAGCCCCAGGTGGGTGGACGGGAGGTGAGGTGTCCTACTGGATGGGTGGCTGTTTCCATTGTGTGATTTGGAGCCTTCCATGTGAGGAGAGAGGTTATGGCAAAATCCCAAAAGGAGACAGTGAAAAAGGGAGCGAAAGAAAAATTTCAGTCCAGGAAAACCACAGGCTGAATGGAAATGGGGTTGGGCTGGAAGTCCATAGGTTCAAGCTCACATCTTCTGCCCTCCCTTCCTGAGTGACCTTGGGCAGGTCATGCCACCTGTCTGCTTGTCCTTTTCTGTTATGTGCTTGAGATTTTGTAATTATGCATTTTCAAGGACACACAAAGGTGCCCTCTCAACCAAGTGTGACAGAAAGAATACAAAATCTGGAGTCGAGAGATCTGGGTTCAAGTCCTAACTTGCTAAGTGTTCCTTTGGTAATCTAAGTCAAAATACCTTCCCTGCTGACTCCCAGTAAAAGGGCTGAGAGAGACAGGTGAGTCTATCAGGCATTCTTCCTGTCACAATTCCACATGCTGGAAATGATCGGGAGGCAGCAGAATGAATACAGTGTGAAGAGTTTAGACACAGACCCTCAGTAGGTACTCAGTCTACATGGGTGAAGAGAGCACAGCCTGGAAGGTGACTCCCAAGTCCCGGGCTGGTTGGACTCAGCCCTGTCATGCAACACAGCCTCCAGCCCGGGTGGCACAAGTAGACACCTCTCCCACCGGCCTCACTCAAACAATTCAGGTATTCCCAAGGCCTCCCACGTTGGCAGAGCCACAGATGCCTGTCTCCAAACGCGCTTTTGGGGAAGAAGACAGAAAGGAGGCGAAAGGGGTGCACAGTCTGGAGAAACAAGGCTGCTCAGACAATGTTTTGTTTTGGGGTTTTTGGGGGTGGGGGAGGCTTGATTTGAATCTCCATGCATGTACTGATTGTGCTGTCTTAGAAAAAAATTTTAAACAGGTCTGTAATCCCAGGAGACACCTTATTTTCCCCACTGGAAATGCATCTTTTCCACTGAAAATATGCACCAACTAGCTCTGTATGTTTCATTGAAAAGCAGAATTAAATTCCCGATCTGCCAGGGGTGGGCAAACTTTCATTGAAAAGCAGAATTAAATTCCTGATCTGCCAGGGGTGGGCAAACTTTCATTGACTAAAGCAGAATTATGGGTTCTTAAACTGGACCGGAGGGCTGGAACAAAAGCATGGATGGAGTATGGGTTCTTAAACTGGTAAATTCAAAGTAAACATCATTACATAAAAGGGTACAGTCTTTTTTTTTTTAGTTTTATTGATTTCAAACGGGCGGATCCGGCCTGTGGGCCGTAGTTTGCACATGGCTGAGTTAGCAGGACTCATCCGGCTCTCGAGCCGTAGTTTGCCCACGGCTGGCCTAGACCCATTTATAATTCATTCGTTGTGATTCAGAAGACAGTGCCTCAGTGGGGCCGCAGCCAATGTCAAGGGCTTGGCCCCCTCTTTCTTCCCCCCTAGGAGCAGGACAAATAGACCTTCACCTTGATGTGATTGCACTCACTGATAAGTGAGCCCTGGCCCAGGAGGGCTGCATGCACGGGGAAGCCTGGATGAAGTCATGGAGTAATCACGGGAAGTGAAGATATGGAGCAAAGCTGCAGGTAGGCAGATGTTTTGATTGACTAGACGCAGGTGTCCCTGTCTCCAGTGCCTGAGCAGTGGGGGGTGATGGGAGAGCTGGGCTGCAGCTCCCATCCCAAGGGGCTGTCAGCTGCGGAGCCCCGTCTGCCTTCTGCATTCCTCTCACTTCCCAGGCAATCCACCCCCAGGGACTCGAGGCAGCCAGACAGGCCTCGCCAACTAGCATTTGCAAGTTGCCAAGCACAACTCACCTCTCCCCAAGCTTTATCCCTTCCCTGGGGAGTCAGGTGGGAGGAAGGGGAAGGTATGACCGATTGGTCACCCCTGAATCAGGCCTGGCTGGCAAGTCTCCAGAGGTGTCTGTTGTGTTGAGACTGGCCTGTCCGGCCCAGCCAGACCCCTCGGCAAGGAGAGGTTGGGAGCTGGTCTCATTCCCCCGGGCTGCCAAGCAGAGCCTCTGAGGGAGACAGCGGCCACATCTGGCGAGATGATGAGATGGCACTCTTCCTCCAGTCTGGGCAGGCTCTTCGGGCAGCCTGAGGCTGCAGCTGATTTTACCTGTGTTGGCACCTGTTTGCAGCTTATACCCACTAATGTCTGCCAGTGGACTCATTATCATCAAGGATAAGAAATTAAGAAATTGTGATTTCATAGACACTTCTGTTCTCATACTAATGGTTTGTGCATCTAATGGTTTGTTTATGATTTAATGGTTTGTTTATTTTATGATGGCATCTGTCCTCATTGGAACCTTACGAGGTACAAATTGGACTTGTACTTACTCTTATTTGGTTGTCCTCACCTCTGCTACCTTAGGTTTTCCATGGGCCCCAATTAAAGTAGCAGTCATTGCTTAAATAGACAGATGATAGATGATAGATAGATAGATAGATAGATAGATAGATGATAGATAGATAGATAGACAGACAGAATAGGTCTCCAGAGTGGCAAAAGCTTTGGAAATCACATTTGTTGAAGGATGATGTTTGGTTTGGGAAAGAAAAAACTTAAGTGGGAAATGGTAGCTCCCAAGATTAGAATGATCTCTTTAGAACTACTTTTAAAAATTCTTAAGACTAATACATATGCAGAAAAGTGTGAAAAATAAATATGTAGCTTAACCAATCATTAAACAATATATCATGTAACTACCCAGGTCAAGATGTGCAACAGTGCCAGCCACCTCCCTCACCTTGCCTCTTCTCAACCACACCCTGCTTCCTGCCCTCAAAAGTCCCCACCATCCTCACACTTCTGGCTTCTATGGCAATCAGCCATTTTAAATTTTAAAATAGTTTATCACCTAACTATGTGGCACAAATAACATGGTTTATTTTTGCATGTTTTGAACTGTATCAATAGAGATGTACACTGTGCTCACTTCTTTTGCTCAACATGTTTGTTAGGACTCATCCCTATTGTTGCTTATAATTACTCTAGAAACCTGGTGCACGAATTGTGCATGGGGTGGGTGGGGGGTCCCTCAGTCTGGCTGGCAATTGGGGCCTATTGGGGCCGGCTGGTAGGAAGAGAGGGACTGCGGGAGGTTGGCCAGCTGAGGGGAGGGACCACAGGAGGTTGGCTGGCCAGACCATGGGAAGTTGGCTGTGGGAGCGCACTGACTGCATTGAGCGTCTGCCCCCTGGTGGTCAGTGCACATCATAGCGACTGGTCGACTGGTTGTTTGGTCAACCGATTGTAATGGTCACTTAGACTTTTATATATGTACATATATGTATACATATATACATATACATACATATATATATATATATGTTGTTCATTGGTTAGTGGAAGATACTCCCCTTGTATAATACTTTATTAATCCAAACTAATGTTAGTGAATATTTGGGCTGTTTCTAGCCTATAGCCATTGAACTGACAGTGCTCTTAGGAACAGCCTCATCTGTGTATCCTGGTACACATGTGCACCTGTGGAGTATATGCCGGGGACTGAAATTTCTGGGTCATAGAGCTTGCATATATTTAACTTAATCACACTGTGATTACTAAACACTGTTTCAACTCATTCCAATTAACTATCCCAATGGTAGTAAATTTAACTCTGTACCTCGTCTTTTTATATACCTGCTATTGCCATGATTATAGTTCTTGCCAATGTGGTATGTTGCAATATTCCAATATGGATTTAATTTGCATTTACCTGGTTATTAATGAGGTTGAGCACCTTGCACATGGTTATTGGCCATTCATAGGACTGGTCTAGTCTTTTGCCTATTTTCTCACCAGGTTACCTTTCTTTCTTCTCATTGCTTGGAGAAATGTCTGACATGTCGTGACTTGGAGTCTTTGTCAGATGTATGTACATCAACTATGTCACCCTAGTATGTGGCTTGCATGCCACATCGTAATGGGGTATTCAGATGAGCAGATGTATAACTTTAAATCTTTTCATTTAATTTATGATTAATTCTTTTTATGTCCCACTTATGAAATTCTTCTCGAAGCCCTTCAGATTCCAAGTTGAGATTCATATATGTATATTTAGTTCTGGGAGTAGAATCAAAACCAATGGATTGCTGCTGAGAAGGCATATTTTCAAGACAGAGAGGATTTTCTCACATTTCAGGCTAAACAGGCATGGAATGGGCCATCTCGCTCCCTGACACCCAGGAGGTAACAAAAGAGAGTGGGTAAGAACTCACCAGAGATGCCATAAGGAGGTCTGCCTCTGTGATTTATTCAAACAGTACGATTCAGACTCTAATTATTACTAAAATCTACTTTGATAAATACTTAGTTATAACCAGTAGGGAGCTCTGGTCATGGTGTAAGTCATTATACCCTTCAACGCTTATTTCAGTAAACAAACCGAATGCACATAATCCCACATTCCTGTCTCATGTTGTGTTTTACTTGTTATTTCCTGGCCACAGAACTTCTCTTCCCTCTGTTACTAACCCTAGTTCAGAGCAGAGTACCCAGTCCATGTATTGTCTGTGGGTGCCCATCGGCTAAAGAAAACAGCTTTATTTCAGGCTAACTCAGTGGTGGTTGCTGGAGAGCAGGACTAAGGAGAGAAGCAGCAGAGGCCACAGAACTGGGCTTAATCTGAAGTTCCTATGCAGCTCTGGAGAGAGCCCTGCTGAGGATGTGGGCTGCCCTTGAAGCCTAACCCTCAGCCGCCTGGGCCCGGAGGACAGAGCTGAAGGCAGGCAGCTGGCCTCTGCTAATGCTTGGACAGCAGAGGAGATCTAAGCCTAATCCCCAAACACAGACCTTCCCCAGGTCTGTTTGTCTCCCCTAATCCTCTAATATTTAAAGCAATTTCAATCCTGTTTGAAGAGACTCCCCAGCAGTTTGAGTCTGGGGCCTCTGGAGGAAGCGGGGGAGGGAGGAGAGAAGGAGGCAGGAGAGTCATGGGGAAGGGCAAGAGTGAGATAGCTCTGCAGAGGAGGGGACAGGGAAGAGGACAGGCTGCCAGTCCTAGCTGGATGGCATCCTCCAGAAGCTTCCCACCCAAAGACAGCTCTTTCACAATTTCTGAGAGTTAGGATGAGAAGGGAGGAAGAGAAGAAGGGTCTTAGGTTTGAATGGAGTTCATTCATTCAGTCAATCAGGCAGGCAGTCAATATGTTTTGAACACTGAGTGAAGTCGAAACTATACTGACCTTGAACAAATAGATTACCTGGGTCATAATAATTTCACAGAGAAGTGCAGGGTGCCCAGACGCGAAACCAGGTCAAGTGTGTCTGCAGAAGAAGCAGTTGGCCACTGATTTGCAGGCTATTTTTACCCCATCTCCCATGCTTTTTTGCTCCTTGTCAAAAAAACACCCAAATGATTTCTGCTTCTTCTATTCTGGTGTCTTTTATCTCTAGAGTCCCTCTGCTCCTGCTCCATCAGCTTAGAGTAGCCAAAATTAGAATGACAAAGTATTGAACTCTACCAGGTTATAGTCATTACATGATAAAGGGGCTGAAAGAAAGGAGTCTCCCCATAGAATAAAGGGAGTGTCTCTGTCCTGAGAGATAAGTGGTGGTGGAAGAACTCCCATTGTTGACACCAGCCAGGGAGTAGAACACATCACAGAACAGGGCATCCACTTAGAGAACATTTGCCTGTTCCAGGTCATGGAGGGGTCCTCCCCCAAAGCCACACTCTTCCATTTTAATAATGACAATAGTAATATTAAGGTCTCTGGCATTTGCCATCCACCTTTCTAGGTGCTCTGTGAGAGGTAGATATTATTATCCACAAGAGATACTAGATAGATAGATAGATAGATAGATAGATAAATAGATAGATAGATACTAGATAGATAGATAGATAAATAGATAGATAGATAGATGCTAGATAGATAGATGAGTGAGTGGATGAATAGATTAATCTATCTTGGATGGTATGTTAATTTCTAGGATTTTAAAAGAGAAGACAAAAGGTAGGAGAAAAGATTTTATAACTTTACAGCATGTAAAGAACTGAAACATATTTTATGCACAAACAAAATCATTTTAAGCAATTTTTAGAAGAGAAGTGCAAGCAACAAATGCACAGCAAAGGCATAATCTAATAGAAGGCTCTTTTAGGGCCCTGGGCTAGAGATGAGGAAGGAAGGCAAGTGACCACTGATATAAAGTCTAGATGTAAGAAATGGCCCTCTGTGATCCATCCCCAGCATGGTCAGCTTTTGATGGAATTGACTGACTTTCCCCAGGGCAAACAGAATGTAGGGAGGAGGGAAGAGGAACAAAGAACTGCGCACATGGGCCAAGGTGGTGGAAACGCCTGAGGCGTCTGCCTTAGCTAGGCAAGGGAGGTAGAGGCAGCTAGAAAGGCCTCAGCCCAATTTTTTTAAATGGCCTAATGGGAACGCAAGACCTAGGAGACTTATGAGGAAACAGGTGACCTCATATTACTCAGTCAATGAGGAACTGGAGGAGGGACTAAATAGTAAATGGGCTATGTTCCCTGCCCACATGTGGGCCTGTACAATGGATGCCTGCTCTCCAGAATGTATTAAAAGTCTCATTTTGGCTATACTTCTATTTCCCAGTC